TTTCATCCTATTTTAGAACCAAGCAAGGTGTTCGTCTGGGCGTCACTCCTGAACACTAATCACCTCAATTTAATGGGTAAACCGATATTCTCTGGTCTATCTAACTAGGGCGTTTAGCTACTCATGCTATTAGAAAACAAGAAAATACAATAGTTCATGCAATTTCTGGAAAATAGAAGAGTTGAAGGATTAAAACCTATTACAAACTTGAATTCTTGCTCTTGCACACTAAATCAAAACGTCCACACACATTATGGAGCCCTAAGGATCTATTTATAATAGTAGGAAAAGTTGGGAACAAATCCTACTCAAATTAGGAATCCTATTTAATGTTTAAAACTTGGAAAAGTCAGCATCAGGGTGATGCGCCGCACCTAGCATCGCTTCAGAACTTCAAGAGTTGGCGCGTCGCGCCTAGCATCGCGCCCCAAATATGCCCCAGTCCGGCATCCTTTGGCGCGGCGCGCCTCTCAGCGCGCCCAACACTGCTAATTTTTGCCTTAGTCGTTTTCTTGCTCATTTTTTCTCCTTATTTCTTTGCTCCAACTCCAATTTCATCGAGAGTTCCTGAAACATCTAATCATGTGTGTGAGTGCACAATCATCATAAGTTACACCAAAAATTAAGCTAATGACTAGAAATCATTCTTCAATCTAATAGATTCATGGGCAAATATTGACAACTTAGGCATATAAATATGCCTAAGATCACCACCCCACACTTAGAATTTTGTTTGTCCTCAAACAAAACCCTTTTTCACAACCCTTAGACTTATCAACCCACCTTAAAATTAACCAAACATTTTTAATCATGATCTTGTAGTTCACATTGGATGCAACAATTCACAACATTTACACCAAGTACAACACATGCTCAAAGAATGACTCTTTTATTATTTTTCTGGGCTAATGCAAACTCATACCACACATCAATTAGATAATCCTACACATGCCATGAATTCCCTCACTTGTTTATGTTTAGTAAAGCCTTTCACTCAAGCAATTTCACAATCAACAAGGCCTATTTTTTAAACAAACAACTCACTCTCACAAAAGAAATTCTTACTTTCCTCAATATACCATAAGCTTGCCCATAGTGTATTCTTACTTTCGCATTATATTTCTCAAGGAATCAATAGGACTTTCATTTGGTTGTAATGTCGGCTTAAGGTAAGGGAGGGAATATTTGGGAATCATTTTAGTGACTACACCTCCCTAATGCACATGTTATTACTTAGCCAACAATCTCCTTCATAACTTTTCTTTCCTCCTAGTACACACTTCATGACTATATACCCCCTTTGTTGCTCCATATTTGCCCTTTATTTTTATTTTTTCTTCATATATATATATATTTATTTTTTTGTCATGCCTTTGCACTAGCCATTCAAACTCCAGATTTTAACATCCGAGTAAGGTACACATTATCCTTGACAGGATTAGGGCCAATGTTTCGAGCATAGTTCTAAATTAGCCATCCTCAATTTCCGTTAAGGTGCACATTGTCACTAAGGACCAGGGCCAAAATAGAATTTTCTTTCCCACACAATGTAGCAATTCACCCTTAGCTATATCAACCAACATTTTCCAACCCTTCTACTTAACATAGTGCATTAAGGATTTTCATAGGATCAAAAGACTTGGTACCAACCAACGGGTTTCGGCTTATCATGTGGTTTATCAATCAACAAGGCTAAAGGCTCAATGGGGATCACTAAGGATAAATTCAATGGTAGGCATACAATTAGAGTTAAGAATTGGTATTTCAAAGAAACGCCACAATCACATCCCCTAAGTCATACAAGCTACTGATTCAACACACAAGGCAAGTTCTAGATATCAAGTTAAGAAAGAACCAATCAATTCTCACCACACATGGCATCATGACTAGTGGTGTGCAAAAATCGATTTAACCAATAAACCGAACCGAAAAAAACACTATTGGTTTATTGATATTGGGTTATTGGGCTAACGATTTTTAAACGGTTTTGCAAATTTTTTTATTGGGTTATTGGTTCGATTTCCGATTTTATAATTTTTGTTAATGGTTAAACCGATAACCCAATAAGACTATACTAAATTTACTAGTCTTATTGTTAATGGTTAAACGATTGTTAACTTTCACACTTTTTCCTTTGAATGTGTCTAGTGTCTAAAACTTGCAAGAAAAATGATTGTTACTTTTATGATTATTACTTTCATGCCAAATGCTGGAAAGATCATATGGTTTATTTGAAAATTTTCTTATCGTGTATATAATATATATGAGTATTTTCTATTGGTTAAAACCGAAAACCGAACCGTTAAGTACCATAAACCGATTAACCAAAACCGATAAGAAATATGTTATTGGTTTGGTTATCGGTTTGATGTAATTTACAAACCGAAACCGATAAACCGAACCAATTAACACCTAAAACCGAACCGAACCGACCGATGCGCACCTCTAATCATGACACATATAAGGATATATCAACTAACATGCTCATACAATTTGCATTACGGCATTACTACACAATTAAGCCCATTTTCATATTATTTTGAGTCAAAACTTAAGAACACATGCTAGTTACAATGCCAACAAACTATTGCATTTTTTTTCAATATGACTACTCATGACGTTTGGCTAACTTATTTGGACATAGCTTCAAAAGACCAAGGTTGGTTTCTCAATCCTACTCTTCTATGTGACTAATTTTCCCTTAAGACGGTTGTCATCCATCCATCATTGGGAACTGTCACTCCTAAGACGACTCTAAGACTCAATAAAGCAATAAACTAATCATATTCGGTTCAAAGGGACAATCCTCAGTAAAAGTACCGAAAACAAACTCTGAGGAACCCAAAAGAATTTTTTTTTAAAAAATTAACCAAAAACTAACACTAGACTCGATAAAGTAATAAATAGCTATATACAATAGAGACATATTACCTCACCCCTACACTTTAAAAATAAGCACTGTCCTCAGTGCACAATTAAAGCAAAGTATAGAGTTAGAAATACTCATTCGGGCCTTTAGGCCTCATCATTATCACCGCCGAACACCATTAAGGCATTCGCCTCATCAGCTACATCAGCATCCTCCTCCTCATCGTCCATCGCCTCATCAGCAGTAGCCTTGTCATCATCTAAAGGCTCCATAAAAGCGGGACCAGACTTACACAAAAAGGTTGCACTCTCGATCAACGGATATCGATCCGCCAAGGTCTCCATCTCCTTGTCAGTAACCGAACGGCCACCTATCCGCAACTATAATTTAGTCATCCCAAACATTCTCGCCATGACACTATCATCAAGGGCTTGCCTCTCTTGGGCAGACAAGGCATGTCCATGGGACATGTCTAGTGCTTTAGTGCGAGTCACATCAACTAACTTGCCCATCAGATCCGGGTGATAAGCAACAGTCATGTCTACTGTTTCTTCTTCAATACCCTCAACCCTCAGAAAACGGGTGATCAACCCCCTGTAACAAAATCTCCACCTCAAATTGTTCCTAAATTTCATCATAATTTGCCTCAGGATTGCCCCAACATTAATAGGCATACCCTTCATCAGCATATAGACCAACACCACCCTATCCCTTGTCACCTCAATCAAATGTTTGGCAGGCAGCAACACACTACACACTATCTTCAGCCACACCCGAGCAACCTGATTAAAGTTAGCAAAATGGAGGGTATTATGCCTCCCAGTATCCTTACTTCGCTCCCACCTAGCATTCGAATCAACCCCACGCAAGGTATGTCGGATATCCCTATTAGGAGGTTTATCCTTCAAGTCATTAAACACATCAGGATCACAATTCGGGGTTCCTAAAAACTCATTCAGAATTCGAGCAGAAAACTTGACATCTTTCCCCCTAACATGCACAGTTTTATATTTTGTTTCAGTTAGCCAATTAGCATAAAATTCTCTCACTAATGTCAAATTGCAATCCCCCAGATTTTCAAAGATAAACCTCAAACCCAACTCATTAACAGTTCGATATATATCAGGAAATTGTGACTATAACCGTACCTCATTCCCAAATTCGTAGCCCATATACTTCACCTCTCTTTGGCATTCAAACCATTCCCAACCATACCGTTCCACAGCCTTTATACCAACTTTTTGCACTGGTTCCCGGCCACTAAAGGACCCGAAAGCTTCTCATTTTCTACTCCGCTTGGAACCCGCCACATTTTTTGCTTTTGGAGCCATCACCACCTGTGATGAAAAGAAAAATGGAGAAAAGAAAAAAATTAGAAAAAATTGGGGGGGAGGGGGTCGACTGGCAGTGGGTAGTGGTGGGGGCAAGATAAAATTTTTTTTGTAGAGTGAGAGATAGAGAGTTTGGAGAAAAGGAGTGTTGGAGTTATGGGTGGGGAGGTTTTTAAAGATGAAGGATGGTTTGGGGAAAGGAAAAGGTGTAGTGGTGGAAGTTAAAGAATGTGGGAGAAGAGGAGTGGGGATTAATGGAGGTAGTGGGAAGTGGAAGAAGATGAAGAAGAAAGAGTTTGCAGGTTTTTAGGGGTTTGGGTCGGTTGGGAGAAATAAAGAATAGGGGATGAATTTGGGATTTGGGGGTTTTAAGGGTTGTGTTGGGTTAACTCTGGGTCAAAACCCGAAAAATTAAAAAAAACTAGCGATGGGAGGGGCGATGCACCGCTTAGCGCGCCTGAGATGGCGCTCTGACGTGCGAGGCCTGGCGCGGCACGCCCCTCAGCACACCTGAGAGTCTCCTCTGATGTACGAGACCAGGCGCGGCGCGCCAACCAGTGAGCTTGGCTTAATTTTTTTAATTTTTTTTTTTCGTTTGTCACTATTACAAGCTAAGTTACAAATAATGAAAAATCCTATTTAACTAACACTAAGAACTAAAAGAACTTCCTGGATTCTACGAATTTAAACTATGCTAAAAATCAAAATTTCAAACACGAACTACCTATCTATTACATATTGTTCATGGGTTGCCTCCTATGTAACGCTTGATTTAACGTCGCGGCATGACGCAGCTTGGATCATTCATGATTTAGCTCAAGAGCTTCCCGATCACGATCCGAATCCTCACCGAAATAGTGTTTCACCCTTTGCCCATTTACCAAGAATGTAAGGCCAGTCTTACCTTTAAGTTCAACAACCCCATGTTGTGTCATTCTGACCACTTCTAAAGGACCACTCCACTTCGACCTTAGTTTTCTGGGGAATAACCTTAGTCTAGAGTTAAATAGTAGTACCTTATCTCCCGGCTTGAAGGTGCAAGCTACTATATGTTTGTCATGCCACCTCTTTGTCTTTTCTTTGTATAGCTTGGCATTCTCATACGTGTGGAACCTAAACTCCTCAAGTTCATGCAGCTGATTCACTCTCTTTTTACCGGTTAGCTCGAGGTCTAAATTCAGCTTCTTGATTGCCCAATATGCTTGATGTTCTAATTCCGCCGGAAGGTGACATGATTTCCCAAATACTATGTGATAGGGAGAAGTCCATATTGGTGTCTTATATGCAGTCCTATATGCCCACAACGCATCATCTAAATTCTCATACCAATCTTTCCTTTGCGCATTCACCATTTTCTGCAAAATTTGCTTCACCTCTCTATTTGAACCCTCCACTAGGCCACTTGTTTAAGGATGATAAGCTGTAGCAACATTATGACGAATACCATACTTAGCAAGAAGATTCTTAACAAGATGGTTAATGAAATTCTTACCTCCATCACTTATAATTACCCTTGGAGTGCCAAAGCGAGTGAAGATGTGCTTCTTTATGAACTTTATCACCACCCTTGAATCATTGGAAGGAAGAGCGACCGCCTCAACCCATTTACTAACATAATCCACAGCCACAAGAATGTATTAGTTTCCACTAGATGGTGGGAATGGACCCATGAAGTCAATATCCCACACATCAAAGATTTCTACCTCTAAAATGTTACTTAGCGGCATCTCATGTCCTCTTGAAATAGTACCCAACCTTTGGCATTTATCACAACCCTTCACAAAAGCAATAGAATCTTTAAATAACGAGGGCAAAAAAAAAACCAGATTGTAGTACCTTATGAGCAGTGCGCTCTCCTCCATGGTGACCTCCATATGGGCTAGCATGACAACTTTCGAGCACTTTGTGAACCTCATATTCCGGAATGCACCTTCTTACTACCCGGTCTACACCTTGCTTGAACAAGAATGGTTCATCCCAGATATAGAACTTGCCATCATGATTGAGCTTTTTCTTTTGTTGGGTGGTTGCACCCGGAGGATAATCACCACTTACTATTAAATTCACAATGTATGTATACCATGGAACTTGAGAGATATCTAATGCCATCAATTGTTCATCAGAAAGCTCTTCCCGGATTTGCTTACCTTCGTTCACATGTGAAAAATCCTCCAACCTAGATAAATGATCTGCTATTTGATTCTCAGTACATTTCCTATATTTGATCTCAAGGTCAAATTCTTGGAGAAGCAATATCCATCGAATAAATCTTGGTTTAACATCCTTCTTGTTGAATAGGTACCTAATAACTGCATGGTCAGTAAAAACAATCACTTTAGTACCTACCGAATACGATCTGAACTTGTCGAAGGCGAACACTAGAGCCAGCATCTCTTTCTCAATCACTGTGTAATAAGCTTGTGTAGAGTCAATGGTCTTGCTTGCATAATAGATCGAGTGGAACACTTTATTCTTTCTTTGTCCCAACACTGCACCCACTGCTACGTCGCTTGCATCACACATGAGTTCAATTGGTAATCCCCAATCAGGAGTAATTAAGATGGGAGCCTCAATTAAGTTCCTCTTCAACATCTCAAAAGCTTTCAAACACATCTCGTCAAAGTTAAACTTCACCTCCTTCTCCAAAAGACTGCACATAGGTTTGGCAATCTTGGAAAAATCCTTGATGAATCGCCTGTAAAAACCTGCATGACCAAGAAAACTACGCACACCTTTTATATAAATGGGAGGGGGCAGTTTCTCAATAACTTCTACCTTAGCCTTGTCAACCTCTAAACCAGATTTAGACACCTTGTGTCCTAACACTATCCCCTCTCTTACCAAAAATGACATTTTTCCCAGTTTAAACTAAGTTAGTGTCTTCATATCTAGCAAGTACTTTATCAAGATTTCGGAGATATACCTTAAAAGACTTCCTAAAGACGGAAAAACCATCCATGAACACCTCAACAAAGTCTTCCACCATATCATGAAAAATGGCCATCATACACCTTTGAAAAGTCGTTGGTGCATTGCAAAGTCCGAATGGCATGTGCTTGAAAGCATATGTGCCATAAGGACAAGTGAACGTGGTCTTTTCCTGATCCTCGAGTGCAATCAAGATCTGGTTGTAACCGGAATATCCATCTAAGAAACAATAGTACTCCTGCCCTGCTAGTCGGTCAAGCATCTGATCAATGAAAGGAATGCGGTAGTGATCTTTCCGGGTAGCATCATTTAGTTTCCGTTAATCCATGCAAATTCTCCACCCAGTCACTGTTCTAGTAGGAATCAACTCATTATTTTCGTTCCTTACCACTGTCATACCTCTTTTCTTGGGAACACACTGTACCAGGCTTACCCACTTACTATCAGAGATTGGGTACACAATTCCAGCATCTAGCCACTTTATGACTTCATTTCTTACCACTTCTTTCATCACAGGATTTAGTCGACGTTGATGTTGTGCTTTGGGTTTGTGATCCTCTTCCATGTAAATTTTGTGCATGCATAATGCCAGACTAATCCAATGGATATCAGCCATCTGCCATCGAATTGCTTTCCCCCTCCGCTTTAAGATCCTTAATACCACATCAACTTGTAAGTCAGACAATTCTGCAGAAAGTATAATATGCAAAGTTTCATTAGTACCCAAATAAGCATACCTTAGGTGAGCCGACAGAGTTTTTATTTCCAACGTAGGGGCTTCTTCTATTGATAGCTTTGGTGGGGGGCCCAACTCACGATCCTACGAGTGTCTACTAGTGCTAAATTTAAGCATGATTCAATCTATTGAGTTTCAGTGTCTCCTTCTATCTCATGACCCACTAACACTTTTTCTAAAGGATCTTCGGGCACAACTACTTGTGATTCTACTATGCGATCAACCACAGTAATAGCAGACAACTCTTCATAAATAGAAGGCAAATTTAAAGCACGGTAAACATCAAATACCCCAACCTTATCATGTGCCCTCATAGTTAGTTGACCAGCTGCTACATCAATCAATGCCCTACCCGTTGCCAAGAAAGGTCGCTCCAAAATGAATGGAACTTCAGAATTGGGTTCAAAGTCTAAGACCACAAAATCTACCAGAAAAATCAATGAACCTACTTGCACTAACACATCTTCTACCACCCCCTCTGGCCTAGCAATGGATCTATCAGTGAGTTGGAGAACAACAGTGGTTCATTTTGGACTACCCAACCCGAGCTTTTGATACAAAGATAAAGGCATCAAATTTATACTTGCCCCCAAATCACACAACCCCCGGGAATGAACACTTTGCCCAATTGTAATCTGCACAGTAAAACTACCCTTTAACTTTTTGGGCAGTCTGTTTTGGATCCTTGAGTTGCACTCCTCAGTAAGTGCTATAGTTTCATATTCCGTGAGCCTCCTCTTGCTAGCCACAATGTCCTTCACGTATTTAGCATACTTCGGAATACCCTACAAAATGTAAACCAAAGGTAGATTAATGTGAACCTGTTTAAGGAGAGAGAAACTTACCAAAACATTCATCTTCATTTTGCTTTTTCAGCCTTTGTGGAAATGGAGGTGGTAATTTCTTTTGAGGAACGGGTACCTCAACATTAGAGCTTTTTTTCTACCTCTTCCACCTTCTTTTCTTTGTTACTTACCTCAAGTGTCTCTACTTCTTTGGAGCTAGTTCCTCTAATTGCAGCCCACTTCTTGTACTTACTGCATGTAATTGCTTTGGGTTGGGCTCAGTATCACCGGGCAGCCCACCTTGGGGACGCAAGTTCAAAGAATTAACCACTTGCGCAACTTGTTTCTCTAAACTCATCTGGCACATATGGATGTTTCTAATGTTCTCATCCTGCTTATCTATTCTAGCATTTAATTTGGTCCGTATTTCAGTCATGAGCTTTTGGAGTAGCTCCTCATTGGTCATCCCCTCTTTTGGTGCACTATGATTTGAGCCTTGGTTAGGATTGTAGTATTGTTGCCCAACCCCTTGAGAATGGTATTAGTTAACCTCTTGTTCCTGATTTTGGTTTTGGTTACAACCCATGAGAAGTTAGGGTGGTTCTTCCAACTAGGATTGTAAGTATTACCATAATTTTGTTGCACTCCACCCCTTTGCGCATTACACATAGTTTACGGGATTCGGGTTTGCCTCACATTGCTCGATTTCATGAGTTCCACTACCACATACCTCACACCAATTGGCTGTCTGTTGTACAACGTTTACCGGTGCCTGTTTTAGAGCCATCTGTTTAAAATGTAGGGCCATGTTATGTTGCATTGCATCTAATTTGGCATTTATGGCAGTAGCTTGGTCTACATCTAAGATCCCTGCAGTCTTTTGGGTTGTGGTTTTATACATTTCCCCCTTATACCCTTGGTTCCCTTTGAAAGTTTATCGAGTAAGGCGAAGAACTCTTCACTTGTTATGGATAGGGCTTGTCCACCTGCTGCACTATTAAGAAGAGAACGAGCATTATAGTCTAAACCCTCAAAGAAAGTGTGAGCAAGTACCTCATTGGTTTGCATGTGGTGTGGGCAAACATTCAACATTTGTTTGAAACGTGCCCATGCTTGGTACATGTCCTCCCCTTGCTTTTGAACAAAGTTTATTATCTCACCCCTCAGCTTCGTGGTTTTCTTGGATGGGAACAAATTGACTTAGGAACTTCTTTGCTAGATCATCCCAAGTAGTGATGGAGTTTGGTGGCTCAGAGTCTAACCAATGCCTTGCAGCTCCTAACAATGAGTATGGGAACAAAGTCAACCTTACATAGTCTGCTGAGACTCCAATTAGGGTGTATGTATTGGTAATTTCTATGAAAGTCCTAAGATGGATTTGAGGATCCTCATGGGGAGACCAATGAATTGCCTATTAGAATGGAGGATATGTACCATGCTCTGCTTTAGTTCAAATCTACCCTCCGGTGGAGGTTTCCTAATACTAGATGCCAAATTGGCTGGGAGTGGGACTGCCACATCACGGACTGGTCTTGCGGGTGTGACAGGCGGTACTCCTTGGTTATTTGGGTTCCTTTGGTTATTCACGTTTTTCGGATTATTCAAGTTGTCTTCATTATCATCATCAATGTCTCCCGGAAGACCTAACCCCAATTCTCCTTGTCGTCCCTGATTCATTTTTCTGCGCTGGCGTAAAATTCTTTCAGGTTCATTGTAAGGTTCGACAAGATCTCCTTTCCGAGCCAAACCTGAAAATCAAGTGCCTACAGTAAACAAGATAAGATCAAGTAATTAATACCTGAATATTGTAATTGTAGACTTAAGAAGGTTGAATATAAATCAATTCCTAAGTCCTCAACAGCGGCGCCAAAATCTTGTTACTCCCCAATATACACGCAAGTGT